ACTAGAGTGTATTACGCTAAGCAAAATAAGTCAGTCAGAGAAAGACAAATAACATACGATTTCACTCATATGTGGAATTTAAGATAGAAAACAGATGAACGTAAGGGAAGGGAAGCAAAAATAACTGCACATTTAGTATGTTTTTAATTTTTCATATTAATAAGGTTATTGGGCATTGAGAGAAACTAACACAAAAAAAAGTAAAAGAAAAAGGGGGCCACAGCTCACAAGGGAGGTCAGAGATAGACTCAGGTGGAAGTCATCAGAATATAGGAAATACATGAAGCCATGTCTTAGGTGAGTAGAATATAAGGAGAAAGTAGAAAATAAATAAAGAGATCAGAGAGGTAAAGCCAGTGGAATAATAATACTTAAAGACAGAGAAGAGAAAGATGAGTTTGAGAAAGATACCAAAAAGTGGAATCAGTACGGTACAAAGAGACCTAAGAGAAAAACCAAATCAGGAAAAGCAAGGCAAGAAAGTTTCCAAGTAATAAAAACCAATGCTGTTTCCGATTCTGTGTCTCCCTCTCTCTCTGCCCCTCCCCCATTCATGCTCTGTCTCTCTCTGTCCCAAAAATAAATAAACGTTGAAAAAAAAATTTAAAAAAACCAGTAAGTACTCTTATAGACCCAAAATTTCAAATTAAATAGAAAGAAAGGATTATGTTTTTAATAAGACAATTTCAGAATGATGAAATTACTAGACAATTTCAGAATGATGAAATTACTACCTCATATTTATGTATAACAATATGCACATGGTACTAGATAATACTAGAGTTTATATTTTCTAGGATACACAACACAATTGCCCAGATACTGAAGAAGATGTTCAAGAAATATTAAAAAGGCATTTACCCACTGGCACCAAATTGCCACCTAGCTAATCTGCCACAGTGAAAGAATATCAAGAACTAGAACATCTAGGGGCGCCTGGGTGGCGCAGTCGGTTAAGCGTCCGACTTCAGCCAGGTCACGATCTCACGGTCCGTGAGTTCGAGCCCCGCGTCGGGCTCTGGGCTGATGGCTCAGAACCTGGAGCCTGTTTCCGATTCTGTGTCTCCCTCTCTCTCTGCCCTTCCCCCATTCATGCTCTGTCTCTCTCTGTCCCAAAAATAAATAAAAACGTTGAAAAAAAAATTTTTTTAAAAAGAACTAGAACATCTATAAAAAAAAATAAATAAGATGTTAACATTGGCCATAAAGAGTTCTCTGGAGAATAATTATTAAACTGTAAGTGTCATGAAGATAAGACAATAAGCTGGCCCTATTCCTCCCCATATGCCTAGATTCCAGCATGGTGCCAGGTTCCATGTTTCTACACAGCTAACATCCCAATGGATGAAGGGGGGAAGAACAGGTGACACTGATGATGCCCAATTTTGTCAGTGTTTTGATCCACAGTTCCATGTTAGACCAAACTGGTGATCCCAGATCTCTAATTACAAGGATAAATAACAGAGCTTTTCATTTCATACCCAGAGCTTGAATAACTTATTCCCAAGTATGTATACATGCATTGCTGCTCTCAAAAATAGTTGTATCTTTTTATAGTTGAATCCTAACACTTTGAGGAATTTACTATCATCCACAGCCTTGAAAATGTCACTTCAAATAATTTATTAACATATTGGATGCAATATAAAACACAAATCATATATACTTCAAGCTACCATTACTTCAATCTTCTATTATTTACCCTATGAATTTGTAATACATTGAGGTTACAGGCATATGCTTGTTTGCAGGGCAAAGCCCCACACAATGTGAATCACTATCTTTACATCAAAAACACTTCATATCATCTAAATCAATATAAAGTTCAAGTAAGTCTCTTTGATTTCCACACACCTAACATAGAAAAAGGAAAAATTCCTAGTCACTCTGCAGCACGTGTACATTTTATTATTTCCAGGTATATTCTGACAAACATTTAAAAAGTGTTTTAGAAGTCTCAACTCAAGATTTCTAAAATCCTTCATGGACTCTTTTTTTAACTTTTATCTAACCCAGGATTAAGCAGAATTCTAAAATGTCCTAGAAACAGGAATTAAAAGTTACAAACTTACATTCAAGCTGTGCAACCACATCTCCAGGGTCTACTGCTTCAGGGAACACCTACAGTGGGAGAACACAGAGGGAAGCAGGGTGGAGAAGAGGAAGTGAAAGGAACATACACATAAAATAGTCTTTGTAATTCCCCTCTCCTTCCCAAAATATTCCTTTCTCATCCATAGAAACTTTGGACATTATTGAGAACTGTCACTTCCTCTCTGCTTCCCACGATCACTATGGAAGCTCTGACAATCAAACAAACACACATTATGGCTGGCTGGCTCTCCCTCTCCAACTTCACCAGGGCTGCTTCTTCATCTCAACTCCTCCCCTGTTGGTCACCATGGTCATACTGGCCTTCTTGGTGCCCCTCCAACTCATCAAGCTTATTCCCAGCAAGAAGTCTTTATATTTGCTATTCCTCTGCTTAGAACGCTTTTCCACTAGACCTTCAAATAACTGATAACTGTCTCATAATTCAGTTCAGCTTAAATGTTATCATCTTCTCTGACCACCCTTTAAAACAGATAATCCCCTGAATCCCTCAATTCCTCTCTGTTCCCTCACCCTCCCTTTATTCTTTTCATGACACTTATCACTATCTAAAATTATTCTATTCCTGTGTTTACTTCATTATTGTCGGTTTCTCCTATTACAGGGAAAGCTCCAGGTGGGGAGGCTGTTTGTCTTGTTTACCCAGTGCCTAGAATAGTGCATGAAACAGAGCAGGAAGTGGGTAATTATCAGAAAAGGAAAAGGAAAAGGAAAAGGGAAAGGAGAAGGAAAAGGAAGGAAGGAAGGGGAGGACAGGGAAAGAAGGAAGGGGAGGAGAGGGAAGGAAGGAGGAAAGTAGAGAAGGAAAGAAGGAAATAAAGTGAAGAATATGATTGGTAATAACCAAAAGCAGCAGTTTTAGGGAAAAACAGAAAAGAAACTCATAGAAAGAAGTACCAGAAGATAGCCAAAAGTAAAATAAAATCTATTTTTACCTATTAATGTCTCCTCTTTCTCTTTGTTGTGAAAATTATTATTTAATATTCAAGATGCTCTATTTTACATAGAGCCCACTAACACAATTTTAGAAATAAACTGATCCATTATGAAAATGAGGCAACTCATTTCATGAATAATACAATGCATATTTCTTTTCAAGCTTCCAGATTTAAGTTACAAATCTCCTTTTCAATGAAATCAAAGTATATATAGTCAGTAGTAATTTGTCTTTAGGGCTTTTATTAAAAATTTGGAAGTACACTGATTATTTGTTAATATTTGATCTGTCACTTGAACTCACCTTTTCAAACACCATTCTGGCATTGAAGACCAGTGGAAAATTGGCTGGGACACATTGTGTCTTTTTGTATTGGCCAAACACACAGATGCTAAGATAGATGTCCTCCTTGTCTTTCAGCACCACTCCTGGACAAGTTACCTGAACAAAATTAGATAGAGAGATGTAAGTGCTTTATGAATTCCCTGAACTATCCTACTGAAATAACTTACATGACATTACATAAAAACACTAGTCTGCTAAGCCAATAAAAAGACGCACAAATTAAAAGAAAAGAGATTCTCGTGTTTACAGAGTTAAATGAAATGCCTTTATAACTTCCATCCCTCTGAGAAATCTATGATTCTCCATTTGGTTATTTGTTCCACATTTGAAGCTCTGTGTACTGGCTCTTGGGACAGATACTAACAGTTTTAAACAGTCAGCCTTAGGCACCCACTTTATGCTGAATGCTGACATAAACTTTTCAGCATCATTTAATCACAAAGGATTAAGACTCAGCAGAAACAAAGCACTATCCTAGAGGACAAAAATAATAGCAATAAAAACCACAAATATGACCCGTATAACCCTAAATAGCAGCCCATATACACCCTCATCAAATGCAATATGACGGACTTTCAAAGCTAGTGAATTATAAATTTCTAGTCCAATGATACATTTTTTAAACATGAAATTGCACTTCATTATCCTCATGATTGACACAAAGTATAGGCACAAAATATGGTGTTTCTAAAAAGTCCACAGCACAGATTCCCCAGTCCCAGTCATATTTCACTGTCAGTGATCAACCACACCCTTAAAGAAATATTAACGGCTAAGATTTGAATCCAACCCACCCACATAGTAACATTACTCAACATCCCCCAATAATACAATCAAAGTATATTTTTATTGTTCTCTAAACATACACATTACTGTCCTACCTTACATTCTTCCATTATCTGGACTACTACTCCTTACTACTCCATTCCATCTCTGCCTCATTTATACTCACCACCTTCCAAGGCTTACATCAACTGCGTCTCCTACACAAAACTCTGGACTCACCAGCTACCATTATTCAATTCAATCTAATTCAAACATTTATTATGAATTTACCATATTCAAATAAATACGTTTTAGATTCTCATAGCATTTTGTAGTTCTCTTAAGGCCTAATTATTATCTCCCTGCATTTTAATTAAGTAGGTACAATTCACCTCTTTTATTTAATTATAAATTCCCTGAGGATAGAAATTTTATTTTCTCATCAATGTATCCAAAACACAGACTTTCAGTATTAAGAAGCTCCGAGATTATCAAATAGCTTCAGATTTTTTACGTACAATAACCACAGAGCCCCAAGAAAGTATAGGTGATTTACTTACTTAAAGTGACACAGAAAATCAATCAATACAATACTTTCAAAAGTGCTTAGAAAAGTGCCTAACAGAGCATTCAACCAATACCAGCTATAGTTATTGTGAAGCTGAAAATCACTGCATCTGTCATCTCAACACAAATTACTGCATTGAATAAATGACCAAGACTTCAGGTCTCTTTGTATGTAGCAGTTAAGATTATTTTCCATGCCAGATATTTATACTCCATCTCCCTCTTATTCTATTTTCCAATTTCCGTTCTGATATATTCCCTACTGATTATTAAAATCTATTAAAATCAAGGTCCTCAGCAAATATAATGTTGTCCATCACCTTCATTTCCTACTCTGCCTCATTAAAATCAAACCTGTTATAATCCCTCTAAATCCATGTTATCCAGTATGGTAGCTGCTAGCCACTTATGTCCACAGTTGTGGCTGGACCAAACTGAGACGGACAATGAGTATAAAATACAAGATTTTGAAGACTTGTTCAGAAAGATTTTGAAAACTCATTATAAAAACAGCATAAAATATCTCATTAATAACTAACACTTTGAAAACATTGATTTAAATAAAATTATTGTTAAAATTAATTTATCTACTCCTTTTAACTTTTTTAATATAGCTGTAAAAATTTTTAAATTGCACCTTTGGCTTAAATTTGTGGTTCATATTATATTTCTACTGAGTAGTGCACCGGCTCTAACTGTCCTACTGGAAACTACGGACTCTCTTTCCAATGTGTAATATATGCAAGAAGGCATGACTTTTTCTCATCCACAATTCTACAAATTCTGCCATGCTTTAAAGAACACCCAGTAGCTTCCCAAAAAGAAAGCAATAGAGGGGGGTGGGGGTAAAGAAAATCAGATAAAACAAATAGAAAATAAAAAGCAAAGAAGTTGACTTAAAACACCCATATGGATAATTATACGAATGCAAATATTCTAAGCATTCTAATTAAATGGCAGAAATTGTCAGATTGGATAAAAAAAGCAAGACACAATATGCTGTCTGCAAAAAAAAAAAAAAAAAAAAAAAAAAAAAAAAAAAAAAAACAACCACGTTAAAGTCACACATAGAAAAAGTGCTTTCAGAATGGTGGAGCAAATATCTCCAAAATTCAGTCCCTCTATAAAAGCAAAGAGAACACTATGAAAAACTGTCAAAATCAACTTTTTTACAGCTCTAGAAATTAACCAGAGATTTGCAAAAATATGAAGAGCATTTGGTCAACTAACCAAATAGATGAATTTTGGTTAAAATAGTGATATTGTGGTGTGTTAACATATTCTACTCCCAACACCCTCTACTCAGGTCTTCTGTAACCTTGAAAACCAAAATCCTTACAATTAGAGTAGTCATAAAAACTAGCAACCCCACAGACACTGGAGGAGAACAGGTTCTGTGCTACCCAAAAGTCCCATCTCCAGGGAATTGCCATTATTTGCTCTGTCTCAGAGTATCCCGGAAACCCTCATTCACAGGAATTCTCTACTTGACCTGAATTAGAGTTTACTCAAACAGCCTTTCTCCCTAAGGCAATTGTCAAAAACAATCAGCAGCAATTGTTTAACACCACAGATGCCTGAGGCAGTGATCCCAATTGAGGCACACCACAAGCTGATCAAAATACTTAAAAGGCAAAGCTGGAAAATCATGTGCATGGGTGTATGGGGGGAGGCTGTTTTTGACAAGCTATAATATATTCTTTGCAATTCAGAAGATCATGCACATGTGCAGGGCTGTGCACATTTGCAGAAATGACCTGATGAAACCCTAATCTCTTACTTCTGGATGACCTTGAGGCTTTGAGATAGTTGGAAATGAAGGCTAAGACAGAGTTGTAAATTACCTGCGGTACATTGAAAGCATGCCCCAACAAGCACACAGAGATCCTCAGCAAAGACTGGGAGACTTACTGGTTCAAGACATTTAAGGATATATATATCCTTAATACCATCATTAGCAAGCCATGAAGCTAACCAGAGACTTTGGTGGCCACACGTGACAAAGAATACAGACTTTAACTCAGTAAAGTAACTAAACAAACAAAAAGCAACAGCAAACAACAGCAAACAACAAACCCTGAGAAATAGGGAGTCTGATTTACAGAGTTCCTTATTATATTACTCAAAATGTTCAATTTTCAATAAAAAATATCACATGCAAAGAAACAAGAGTATAAACCTTACACACAGGAAAAGGTAATCAATAGAAACTGTCTTTGAGGAAGCCTAGAAGTTGGGCTTACTAAACAAACACTTTAAATCTATTATAAATATGTACAAAGAGCTAAAGGAAACCTTGTCTAAAAATCTAAAGGCAAGTATGGCAACATAGCAATGATGTCTCATCAAAGAAAGAATAACAAATAAATAGAAATTATTTTTTGAAAGAACCAAATAGAAATTCTAGAGTTGAAAGTATATGACATGACATGGAAAAAATCACTAGAGAAGCTAGCAGAAGTAAGAATAAGTGAACCTGAAAATATGGCAATTGAGATTCTTCAGCCTGAGGAACAGAAAGAAAAAATAAAAATGAACAGAATCTCAGAGACCTGTGGGATACCATCAAGTACAACAACATAGATATAATAGGATCCACAGAATGAAAGGAGAAAGGGCCAGAAATATTTGAAATAATGGACAAAAACTTGCATAATTTAAAGAAAAGCAATCTACATCCAACAAGCTCAAAGAATTCCAAACCACATACATCATAATCAAACTTTCAAAAGACAAAGATGAAGAGAGAACCTTAAATGCAACACAAGAGAAGTGATTCAGTAGGTACCAAAAATCCTCAATAGAATTTACAGGTGCTTTTGTATCAGAAACATGAAGCCAGAAGGAAGTGGGATGACTTATTCAAAAATGCTGAAAGAAGGCTTTCTTGAAATAAGAATCAATATTGAGAAAAATTTCCCTTCAAAAAAAAGGAAAATTAAATTAAGACATCCTTGGATAAACACAGATAATTCATCATTAGCAGAACTTCCCTACAAAATATACTAAAGAGAATCCTTGATTGGAAATGCAAGGACACTAGACAGTAACTCAAATCCACATGAAAAAAATACAGAGCATCAGGAAAGGAACTGCATATATAAATATAACAACAGTACAAAATTTTTTTGTCTTATTTCTCCATCCTTATTTAAAATAAAATTACATAGGGGTGCCTTGATGGCTCAGTTGGTTAAGCATCTGACTCTTGATTTCAGCTCAGGTCATGACCTCACAGTTCTTGAGATCAAGCCCCACGTTGGGCTCTGTGTTGACAGTGCAGAGCCTGCATGGGGTTCTCTCTCTCCCTTTCTCTCTGCCACTTACATGCATCCTCTCTCAAAATAAATAAATATTTTAAAAAATAAAATTAGATAAAATTACATAAGGCAGCAAATATTAAGCTACGTTGGTGAGGCTTGTATGTATAAAGATATAAATTGTATGACAATAAAGTCATGAAGAAGACGAGAATGGAACTCAACAGAAACAAAAATTTTGTGTACCACTGAAATTAAATTGGTATCAATCCATACTAGATTGCTATAATAAATGGAGATGTTAATTGTGAGCCCCAAAACAATCATCACTAATAACAAAAAAAATATAGTAATAGAAACAAAGGAATTAACATGGTACACTAGAAAACAGTTAACTCAAAAGACATCAAGGCAGAAACATAGAAACAAACAAAGACATAAGACCTGCAGAAAACAAACAGTAAAATGAAAGAGGCAAATCCTACCTTATCTGTGATTATGTAA